ACAGAGCGGAGTTTAGGGCTGTTGTACATAGGGTCGCTATGAGTCGCAGGCGACTCGACGGCACATAACAACAACAACAACAACATATTTCTTTTAGACTGTTCTTTCCCTCATCTGTTTCAATGCAGTGTTCATTATTCATCCCCTCCTTTCTTAGTTCCCCCCCACCCCCAATGTCAGTCCTTTTTTATAACAGTGGCTTTATGCATTATTTGTCCTTCTGTGGCTGAGATATTTCGTTCAGCACAATGTCCTCCAGGGTCACTGTCTTGGGGTTTAAGTCAGCTGGTGAGAGCAGGTCCCCCGAGCCTTCTTTGTCAGCATTAGCCTGCCAGAGCTGCTGACTGAATGGAAATGGGTTTCGCTCCCATTATTTAGCCTCCAGCATCTCAAATAGACAACACTCAATGGAAATGAGTTTCTTAGAATGCTAATAGCAGCACAGGAAAGCCCCTCAGGGAACCAAAATCAAGGACTGATTCCAGTCACTGGAAAAGATGGAGAGGCCATTCAGAGAGTGCTGCTGAGTTAAACAAGCCTCCATTATTTTCAGCCTTTTCCTTTGTGCTTGAAGACAAATTCCATCCTGGGGCCACCGGAGTTGCCTGGCTGAGTCACCTGGTCACCCCTTGGCTGAGGGAGAGAGTGAGACATCTTGATGGACAAGCTCCCTGTTTGTATCCAAAGTTGGAAAGAGAAAACTCTTCCAGTGCATAACTGGGCTGTAGACGCAGGAAGGAAGTAGATAGTAACAGGGACACCAAATGCACTGTTTGCCTTAACAGTTTACTTCTTATTGGTTTTCATTGGAGGGGCATCCGCGAAGCAATCCTTACTAAAAATCAAGAGTCTGAGCTAGCATCTGGATTTCTTTTCTTTTCTTTTTTTTCATTTTAATGAACGTTTACAGAGATTTTGGCTTTCCATTCAATCATTGTTGCATTTTTCTCCCTCCCCCCACCCAGTTCACTCTTCTCTTTGAAAAGTAAAAGAAAAATTCTTTCATTAGTATACAATCCCTGCACAGCCCCCCTGCCCTCCCCCCCCCCCCAAGTACACGCCACTATGCAACCTTCATTCTGGACTCTGGATTTCTTAATCGCTGGCCCGGTAGGAAATGGGGAGGTTTGTTTAGGAGCTCAGTGGAAGTAATCAACCAAATGCTGGCTGTCTGGGGTCCTTGAAGAAGCTGGTTTCACGTCTTTCCTGGAGGGCGTAGTTGGGAGTCATGAGGATGGTGTGTCACAGTCCCCAGAAGCGAGAGGAGACCCCCCCATTCTTTCCTCAGTCATCTCTCCACTTGCTTGAGCCTCAGTTACTCAAAGTTGCAGCTCATCACAGGATCACTGGTAGGGCTGATGGCGTCACCCTGGTGTCCCTTCTCATTTACAGTGTTCCAATGACACGTCCGACTGTGCCACCTACACCTTCAGCTCGGGGGTCAATGCCATCCAGGAGTGGTACAAGCTGCATTACATGAACATCATGGCGCAGGTGCCTCTGGAGAAGAAGATCAACATGAGCTACTCGGCTGAGGAGCTGCTGGTGACCTGTTTCTTCGACGGAGTGTCCTGTGATGCCAGGTCAGGAGAAGGAGAGTCCTGTGTGCCTTCACAGTCTGAGGGTCTGGTCCCCTTGTGCACACACACAGCTCTTCTATGGGTCTGAAGGCCACAGGGGTTCTTCTCGTTAACCCTGTGCTTTGGGAAACAGCTTACACAGGAGTAAATGTCACAGTCAGTGAGGAAGGTAGATGGGCTATTGTCAAAATATCCTTAAATGCATTATGAATACAAGCATAGCCTAGCTGTGTGCATATTAGCTTACATATTACGATAATGTATACCAGCTTTGAGATCTACCAGCCTAGTTCAGAGAAATGAAGAAAGGGGAAAAGGAGGGAAGGATGGAGCGGGGAAAGGAAAGAAGAGGAGAAGCGTGAGAGGGAGGATAGCAGAGGAAGGGAGGAATGGAGACAGGGGAGAGAGGAAGCCTACGCACAGATGTGTGAGCATGCAGACATGTCTGTCTTGGTAACAATACTCAGATGAGTGATGGCTGTCACATTGTCTGCAGAACTGACTTACTTTTTAGTGTTATTATTGTTTTGTACTGTCAAGTTGGAACCAACCCATGGCTGAATCTCCAGCAGGTTTTCAGAGGCAGGGTATCACACAGGAGGAGATTTCTCATCTTTCTCCCTCAGAGCAGCTAGCGAATTCAAACCGCCCATCTTTGGATTGGCAGCACAAGTTCTTACCACGTAGTCACCAGAGTCTTTCCATGTGTTAACAGATGTATCGGAAGGATTGAATTCTCCCTGAGAACTAGGTTCTCAGGTCGGTGTAAGGCACAGATGGTGTGATGTTGTCTTTAGTGAGCGTTTTCCAGGTCTGGGGGGTTCTAATGGGAAAATATCAGGTTTGGCTGAGAAGGCCATGAGTTGACAGATATGCAATGAGGTGCATGGTCAAGGACCGAAAGTCAGTATGGGAATGGCGATGAGAGAATGAAGCAGAACAGAGTCTAATTTCACATCAGTGTGCATCGGCCTCGATGAGGGGCCTTGCTGGCTTGTCACTTCATCGGTGGGCGGTGGGGTGGTGGGGAGCTGATAGGGAAAGTACATCATGTGACAGGTATGCTGGCTGTGGTTGACACCACTAGTCGATAGGAGAGAGCTGGTGCCCTTAGCAAGGACCATTCAGACGTCAGCTCAGAAGTGGGGGGGTCTCAGCAAGGCCCTTTCTGACTTTTGTTCTTCCCCCACAGGAACTTCACACTTTTCCACCATCCGATGTATGGGAATTGCTACACATTCAACGGGCGGGCCAGTGACACAGTCCTCAGCACCTCCATGGGGGGCAGTGAATATGGTAAGGCAATCTGCACTGAGGAGTCTCTGAAGGGTCTCTCAGTCTCTAAAAGTTAGTTAGCAGTATGATAATTGAGAGACTTGAACCTTTTAGAAATGCAGGATCTTGCTAGTCGCCCAGAACCAGAAAAGCAACTTTTCCTAGTGTAGTATTTCTCTCAATGTCCTGGGTCGTTCTTCCTTCCTTATCTGTAACTGTTTCCCTTTTGTTGAGTTCTCTTCTTTAGCTTCAAAAGGGCAGCAGGAATGTTGCTGAGTTCCTCCTCCTGGGAAATCATTCTGGATAAGTTCTCAGCCTTGTCAGTCGTGTTGGGCAAGTGGCTCCCAAATGGACTTAAAGCCAGATACTGAACAGGAAGGAACTCTGGTGGTGTAGTGGGTAAGGAGCTCACTGGCATCTCAAAAGTATAAGGTTCAAATCCACCAGCTGCTCCTCGGGATAAAGAGGGACAATGTCCTCCTGTGTGATTTGCAGCCTCTGAAACCTGCTTTGGGGTCAACTAGGAGTTGATCTTGTCCCAACGGCACATAGCAAAAAACGCTGACTGGGAATGGAGACAGGCAGGCTTACCTGTATCCCAATGACACAGTCTGGAGGCAAATGCTGAGTTCAGACTTGAACTCTGCCATGCGCTCACTGTGTGAGTGACCTTGAGGAGGTTACGGCACCTGATCTGGAATCCGACATGGATCTGTGCCATCTCAGCAATATTGGTGGGCTCCTTGCGTTATGCAAATTGTTAGCTAACAGGCTTTGTTACTAACTGAAAGGTTGGATTTTATGTCCTTTTAGATGCTTCAGAAGAAAAGCTGGGGAATCTACCGGCAAAATAATAATAATAATAATCATCATCATCATCAGCAGCCATTGAAAACAGTTCTATTGAATCCAATTCTGTTTTGATATACATGAAGGGACATGAGTCAGAATCGACTCCAAGGTGACCTGTAATGATATACAAGGGAATTTAAATATGCAAAGCACTGACTCTAGTATACAAGGCTATTGAGGGGACTACAATTTAAAGCACATTGAATGAGAACTGGCACACAATGGAACACAACTGAGTACTAACTGTTGCTACTATGATTAGCTCCCATTATTAGCTTCACCGCTGCTGCTGCTAGTACCTTCACTCCTTCTGACACCGCTATTATTACTGTTCTGCCACTAGTGCTTTTGTGGGAAGGAAGAGCAACGCAACAGATTGGCCTGGCTTGCCCAGGAAAGGAATTCTTGAAAGGTCTTGTGCCGTGGAACCTGATACACACATATACCCTCCCCCTGCGCTCCCCACCCCCGAAAAGCAAGGTCATATCATGCAGGAAAACCACATTTGCAATTTTAGCCTTTGTTACTGTGTACTCTGGATCTTATCAACCCTGCAAGAAGTCATAATTCAGAGCACCTGCCTCAGTGAGGCAGACTGGGAGGGAACTGGAAGGGTGAGTTAGAGAGTCTTGACTCTGTTTTGTTTGGGCCGTGTGGCCGCCCACAAATCATCTACCCTCTGGGCTCCAGTTCCCTTCTTTCTAAATAAAGAGGTCAGAATAATTCTCAGTCCTTTCCCGCCGTATAAACCCTGTTCATTCATACTTATCCACTGACCAGACCTTTACGGAGTGTCTGCAGAATGCCCAGCCCTCTTCCACGTCTTGAGGACACGGCAGCGAGGAAGCAGACATTGTCCTTGCCTTGAGATGACTTAGACAGAGGAGAGAATCAGGTAGCAAGTGGGTAAACAAATGCCTAGATACCATCTAGCTTCACATCCCCGTGAGGGCCATGATGGAAATACAGCCATGAAAGAGAAGAGAGTGAACGGGTGCTGAGTTTCTATTTTGGATGATAGAGCTGCTTTGGGAATAGAAAGTGATGATGACTGTGCACCTGAGTGAATGACAGTGATGACATGTCTGAAAACGGAGAAAATGAGAATTTTATACCTATCTTCATAGGTATATTCTGTTATTTAAAAGTATCTATTTTAATTGGGAGCTCTGGTAGCCTAGTGGTAAGAAGCTATGCAGCAATCCCGAAGGCACACAGTTCGAGGCCACTAACTGTTCCGTGGGAAAAGGATTGAACAATCACCTCCTGTGTGATTGGCTGCCTCTGAAAACCTGCCAGAGGGTCAGCTATGGGTCGATTCTGACTCTATGGCACACAACAACAACAAAAACAACATTTTAAATAGGTATATTTTAATATTAATAAAAAAGAGACAGAAGAGAGAGTGGATGAGGATGAAGGACTATGAAGGAAGTTCTCGAGGAGGACTATTGAAGGATGAGAAAGAGCCAGCTTTGGTAAGATGAGAACTTTGGACTGGCTCTTCACAGCTCAGTCAAGGCTGATAAAACCTAAAACTAGGATGGATTGGAATTTTCACAACATTGGTGCTTGGAACCTGATAACCAAGAGTAAACTAAAGACCAATGTCCTGCTAGAAATGTGATGGTCCCCTTAGAAAACAAGTACAGAATACATGTTACATTGCATCCAAATCTCATAACCAACAGAGTGGGAAACAATGATGCCCTGCTTAAAGATGGCCACAGACCTTACCACCTACGCATGCTGCCCCTTACAGTCCTTGTCATAATCTAATTTCCTGAATTGGTCCTCTGATAAGGCTCACTCCACCTCTTTTGCCTCCCTTTCCAGGGCTTCAACCTGAAATTCCCCCCCCCCCCGCCCCAATTCTGTCCTGGCTTCACTTTGAAAAGTCTCAAATTAGTTTCAAGCCCTGCTTAATTCCCAGTGGAAAAGCATTCCAGGCACTGGCAAGGGAAAGGCCATGTCAAATAAATGAATTCGATATATGCTGAAAACAGAAAGAAAAATAGCATGTTTGGAGCTTATTGAAGGCGAGAAAGGGTGGGAGGAGAGGAGGTGCGAGAGGAGGGCACTAGAGTCTGACAGCAGTACGCAGGCTCTTGGATTTCTCTGTGGGTCTAATGGGATACTATTGAAAGGTTTCAAACATGGGAATGGCCTGATCGAGATTCCATTTTTAAAAGATCTTTCTGGCTTTGAGTGCAACATAGACCAACATGGGAGTTGGGAGAGAAATTAAGCCAGATGCTATTAGCGCTGTTTCCTCTCTGTGAACTCTTCCTGAGAGAATAGGCAACCACAGTGCCACAGCTTCCCTTAGGATTCTCATCAGAACTTCCCAACTCAAAGGAACGCATGGCAGTGCAGGTCTCCAGCAGGCCAGCTTAACAACACCTGTGCCAGTGATACCGGCTTTGAGCCCGTTTGTGCTAAGCTCCAGGGTAAGAGCAGTGAGCAAGTCAAACACAGCTATTACCCTCTCATAGCTTCCCTTCTAGCCCCTGTCTACCTCTCACTTATTGCAAGTGCCTCGATTCTGGGTTTGAGGCTCCCAAGGAAAGCAAGGGAGAGAGCAAAACTAGTCCATGGGAGTGGGTCTGCCACCTGTGACATCATCAACCTGCCTTGTTCCTCCAGGTCTGCAAGTCATCTTGTATATAAATGAAGAGGAATACAACCCCTTCCTAGTGTCTTCCACGGGAGCTAAGGTGATCGTCCATCAGCAGGAAGAACACCCCTTCATCGAGGACGTGGGGACGGAGATTGAGACGGCAATGGCCACCTCCATAGGAATGCGCCTGGTAAGAGAGGATTCAGATCTGCAGGCCGGGTGAGGAGCACAGCTTCCACCCCCCCCCCCCCCCCCCCCCCATGGCTCATCAACCAGACGCAGCTCATTTAAAAGGGTATTGGTTTAAAACGAGAGTGTGGCCCTGTATTTCCCAACGACCACCAAAATGACAATTCCAATAGTCACACTAAGAACTGTCCGTTTGTATGGGGTTTATGGACAAGATGTCATTTTGGGAACTGATTTAAAGAGTTTCTTCTCTTGTTCCAAAGAAAGTTACCAGCATTAGGCAAGCCAAGCTAGATATCGGGTATCAGACACAGTGTATTTTGCATATATTAGAACATAACCATCGGGAGAACCCCATGGAGCACAGTTTTACCCTGAAACACATGGGGTGGGTGTGAGTTGGCCAAGAGCAACTGATTTGTTTTGATGTGTTCGTCTTGGGTTATGCAAAAATTACCTAATTTTAAAATGAAGCCTAAAGCTAGGATGTATTGGAATTTTCACAACATTGGTGCCTGGAACCTGATAGCCAGGGGTAAATCAAAGTCCAATGTCCTGCTAGAAATGTGATGGTCCTCTTAGAAAACAAGTACAGCTTGCATGTTACGTTACTAGTGGTGAGTTACTAGGCCGTCAAAGTCTATTTAGCCTATTATATTTCTCTCAACTTCATGTCATTTACTACAAGTCCTCCCACCCTCAAAGTCTTTGACCTTCTCTGACAGGTACGGTGTTCTCTGAGAACACCTGTCAGAGAACACCTGTCAGCAGAAGTACAGCTGGCCTGCAGCTTCCAACTCCTGAGTCAGCCCCTCCCAAAGGAAGTACAAGGATAGATAAAAAGCACATGTACCGTCAGGCCTTGGCCACCCTATGTGACAGTTTTCCCTTTCACACATACCAGTTTCCACTTTGTCTTTGCCTGAATGATATTAAGGACTTACTTACAGACGATATGTTTACACAGTAAAAAACCCAACTTAGACTAAGGGAGTGTGCAATGCCGAGTATTTCTCCTCTCCCTCCCTGCTGCCAACCTCCTTCTTGCTCTCCACAAATACCATCGCTGTTGCTTCTGTGTCTTCAAAGAGACTTTTAAGGCTTCTTTACATGTGTACATATAAGAACAAATATTTCTCCTTTTAATACTGTCCGGCTCTGGTTTTCACATACACCATAGCTCGGGAGTGGGCTCGTGTCTATAAATCTGCCTCATTCTTCCTTTTTTTTTAAACTTCTCTTTTTTAAATATTGTGATTTTAACGAAAGTTCATAGAAAAGGATTTTCATTCATTCACTGTGGTACATTTACCTCCCTACCCCCGGTTTACTTTTTTTTTAAAAAAAAATATTCATTCATCGTTGCATAATTTCCTACCTCCCCCAGTCCACTTTGCCAGGCCTCTCTTATTCTGGACTGTTGTCATACAAGTAGAGCCTAATTGTATATTCATTTTAAAGAGTTATTTTCTTCCTCTGTTCAAATGCAGCATTTGTTATTTATCCCCTCTTTTCTTAATTTCCCTTCAACCTCCAAGTCAGCACTCTTTGTAACAGTGGTGTAGTGCAGTGTTTGTCCTTTTGTGACTGAGATATTTCACTCAGCACACTGTCTACAGTTACCCATGTTGTCTAATATTTTGAGTTCCCTGTTTTTTCAGTACTGTGTAGTATTCAAATGTGTGAATATACCATAGTTTTTCTATCCATTCATTTGTTGATGGATACTTAGGTTGCCTTGCTATTATGAATAATGCAGAAATAAACGTGGGTGTGCATGTATCTGTTTGCGTGACAGCGGAGTTGGTGGGTCAAATGTAATATCCAGCTTTTTGAGGAAGCGCCATATCACCTTCCATAGTGGCTATACCATTTTACATTCACACCAGCAGTGAATAAGGATTCTAGTCTCTCCACAGTCTTGCCAGCGTTTGTTGTTTGCTGCTCTGTTGAATTTTGCTCTTATAACTGGGATGAGATAATATAGTTGTTTTGATTTGGGTCTTTCTGAAAACTAGGGACTTTGAACATTTCATGTTATTTGTTTGCCCTCTGAATGTCTTGTTTGGTGAAGTGTCTATTCATATCCTGTGCCCATTTTGCTACTGAGTTGTTTATTTTTTTTCTTGTTGAGGTGCTGAAGTATTCTATGAATTTTAGATATGAGTTTTTTTATCAGATATGTCATTACCAAATATTTTTTTCCTAGTCTACGGTTTCCTTTTTTCCCTGTTGGAGAAGTTTTTTTGATGTCTATAGGGATTTGATTCTTAGAAGGTCCCCTTCATCTTTTTATTCTCTCCTGGTTGGATGCCTCACTCCTCTTAAAGACCTAATATCATTCCATCACCTGGATAAGTTATTGATGGGATTAGGTCTTTTCCAGGCTTTTGCTACTAGAAACAGTGGAGTGATATAATATGTATTTATCCTGCTGCTTTTAAAGGTGTATCAAGTAGTATATGTATTTGCCAGATTGCTTTCCAGTGAGATGTGAGCAATTTGCAGCCCCACTTGTTGTTGGTAAATGCCATCAAGTTGCCCGTGACTGTAGCGACCTTAGGTACAATAGCTCTGAACTCTGCCACAGCCTGAGCTAGTGTCACTGACTCTGACCCACCTAATTCCATTGCCCCAGTTACCATGTCAATCCATCTCATCCAGGGTCTACCTCTCCTGTGCTGTCCCTCCACCCTTCCAAGCATGATGTCCTTCTCCAGGGACCTGTCCCTCCTGGCCACGTGCCCAACGTATGTGAAACAGACCTTCAAAATCCTTACTTCCAAGGAGAAACTTGTTTTTACCCTCTCCAAGACTGACCTAAACTGTGCCCCCAAACTCTTACCAACTACAGTGTATGGTCCAACTTAACCTGTGCTAATCTACCAAGAGAAAAATTTCCTTTGCATTTCTTCTTAGTGGCTGTGTGTGTGTGTGTGTGTGTGTGTGTGTGTGTGTGTGTGAAAACGAAACAAAAACCAGAAAGTGATCTATGTATACACTATGTCCCAAGTTGGCTTCTTAGCCTTTGCTCGCTCCCTTACTTTCTCATAGCCACAGAGTTGGAGCTGACCCTCTACTGGGTTTATGAGGCTGTAAATTGCATGAAAGGAGCGTGCCCATCTTTCTCTCACTGAAAACCTGTCCCACAGAGCAGTGCTTTCTAAACCTGGCGTGTCATCAGACATAGATCTTCTAAACCAGAATTTTTGTGAGATTCCATTTTTTTTAAACCAAAGCTCAGTGATTATTCCAAGGAATGGCAACTGGGAATCTCAGCTTTAGAATCATGAAACAACTAGAGGAGAATTAGAATTGGGAGAGAGGCAATCTGTGTCTTTCTACGTTAGAGCAAAGTTATAATAGCAGGAAAGGTTTAACGCAGTGTCTGACAGTAGCTCCTTTCGGAGTTACGTAAGGTTGGGACTTGCACACACACCTGCCATTAATTCATTCAACAGCCATGGAGCTTAGCAGAGAGGACTGCTAAAAAGTCATTTACATAAATTGTTCGTGAAACGGTCTCAAGGGCCATGGGGAGAAATGCAGGGTAGTTGCTTTTTGTTGTCTGATCTTTATTTTTGTGTGGGAGTTGGAGGCCATCAAAGTACTTGCACTCAGCTATTTATGTAAAAGTTTGGAAGGTTGAACCCACCTTGAGGTGCTGTGGAAGAAAGCTTGGCTGGCTGCCCACATGAAGATTGTTGTTGCTGTTATCACGCACCACGGATTTGGAACTGACTCACAGCTGACCCTCCGGTGGGTTTTCAGAGGCTGTAAGTCACGTGGGAGGCGATAGCGCAGCTTTCAATCCTGCGGAGCAGCTGGTGGATTTGAATCACGTGGCTTTGGATTGACGGGGCAACTCTTTACCACTAAACCACGGGGCTCCCCTATATGAAGGTTGGAGTCAAGGAGCATCTATGCACTTCTTTTCTGTTTCCTAACACATGGGGTCAACTCAATGCACTGGAATCGGCTCAGTGGTAACAGCTTTGGCTGTATTTTGAGGAGACCAAGGAATGCTTTCCTGAGGAACTGATCTTTAAGCGGAGACAGCAGGAATGAGTGGCAGTGTGGCTTCACAGAGGAAACCTGTGACTTATATGGCTTTGCGGGGGTGGCTTGTAGTTTTAGGGGCTTTGTTCCAGCCTGAGAGAAGCATCACAAGAGCCAGTTTGTTCTGTGTGAAGGTAGATTGCTACCTTTGCCCCCAAATAGCAACAACACAACCAAACCCAAACTCCCAGCCTGCTGAGATTGTAGCTAGAAAACCCTCAGGGAGCCTTAAAGGGCTGGACTTTCCTCCTCTCTAACTCTCACCGTGTCTGCAAACGGAAGTTAGTAAGTGAGTAGCTTTCAGGAGCAAAAGAGCTAAGGAATGCCACTCTCTGGTTTTTCCCTCTGAGCTTAGAAAGACCCCACCGTACTGTTAAGGAAATGCTCTCTTCACCAGTGGGAGGTGAACAAAGGTATGGGTGGGTTTTTCTGCTACACCCAATTTAAGATGAAGCAACTCAACACCCCAGAGTGGCAGGGTCAGTCATCAGCTCTTGGTCTGATTTATGAGTGTTTAGAACAACAGAAAACCCAGGATTACTAAGAGGTCAACAGGGTGTCACTAAGAATAAGTCCAAACAAACTAGATTTCCCTTCCGTGTGTGTGTGTGTGTGTGTGTGTGTGTGTGTGTGCAGGTGTTTTAGTTGACTCAGGTAATCAATCATTTGCTACAAAACTTCCTTCTCTCAAGTATCAAATATCCAAAAGCTCTGTTGTTGTTGTGTACCGTTGAGTCGGAACCAAGCTATTTCTGACCTTCTAGCAGGTTTTCAGAGGCAGGTAACTGCACAGGAGAGAATGATTGCCCATCTTTCTCCACCAGAGCCGCCAGTGGATCCAAACTATGCACCTTCCTGCTTACAGCACAATTCTTTACCGCTAAGCAACCCGAGCTCTCTTAAGGCACCGGACACTCAGAAATAAATATGACAGAGCTCCTG